TGTATATGTATGTCTATCTATATATATATATATGTATGTGTGTGTGTGTATATATATATCGTGTTTTATTCCTTATTCTCATTTATCTTGTTTTGGTGTGGTACAGGTGCACAACGCATTTCACTGTGCGTTATATTGTGTATAACTTTTTGCGACCAATAAAAGACCTTGAATCTCCTTGAATCTTGAAACTCAGGAATACGTTACACAGATGACACATTACAACCTATAACATTTCTCAAGTCTGGTCTACTTGTTCCCGCAGCCCCTCTGTGGTTGAAGATGATCTCAAGATGCTGTTTTCCAGCTCAGGCGCCATAGTCAAGGCCTTCAAGTTCTTCCAGTAAGTCATTCATTTGGCATCCTTGCTCTCAAACCCTGATTGATTAATGCCCCATGAATTAGAGCCCTGCCTCTAGCACTGCCCTCCTGTTTCCTGAGTCCCTGTCCCCTGAGGCATATTCAGTATCCTTAAATCTTTACCTGTATTCCTTAGGATTCATAGCTACATGTTCTTGGAACAGAAGTTGATAACCTTGAAACTCTCATGCTTTTACCACCTGACTTGTCCACATCCCTACTCTGAAGTCTTAAACACTTCTCAAAGCACTTTTTTCTGAAGTCCCAGTGTTTGTCCTGAAGACGTCTTCCTTGTTGTAAAACATTTTCCAAAGTCACAACACTTCAGTCCTTGTCTTCAAGTCCTTTGTGCCTGCTCTGCTGCCTTGGCCCTTACAACCATGAACCCACTACACTTACCCAGAAGCTCCTGCCCCCTTTTTTAAGGCTAAATCCTTGTCCCATTGCCTCTGTTTTTTCCCTGAACCGAGCACATTTGCCTGGAATCTCTTTGTCTTGTCCTGAAGCCCCTTTCCTTGGCCCTGAAACCCTTGGACTCTTGACACCAAGCACAGAGTTTAACCTCCCTCTTGTTTCTCATTTAGGAAGGACCATAAAATGGCACTAATCCAGATGGGCTCAGTGGAGGAGGCCATCGAATCCCTGATTGAGTTCCACAACCATGATTTGGGCGAGAACCACCACCTGCGTGTGTCCTTCTCAAAGTCGTCTATCTGAGCCTGGCACTCCACCACCTGGATACTCGCTGTTCCTCTGAGAGGAGGTGGTGTCCACTACACTCCAATCATTCCAACATGCTTGCAGAAACGACCGTGAAGTCTGGTGTAATGTTAAATTATTTTATTTTATTTTTTTTAATTTTTAGGTTCTTTGCCTTCAAAGAGAATTAGGGATACTAAAGAAAGTACTGTAGTTCTGAGATTATTCTCTGAAGTTCTGCATTTAATCTCAGAAGCTGGAGAATAAAGTAAATATTCTGAGTTTGTCAGGGTTTTTGGAATTAAGTAAGAATTCATAGATGACTGTCAGAATTTAGTTGTTGTCCTCCTTGTTGTAAAGCTGTTACCTTCTAGCCACTCTTGCCTTGTGACTTTAATCCCAGAATCGAGGGTTTAAAGTCAGCCTTCTAAATTTATTATTTCAAATTCTGACTTTATTAACTCAGGATACTTTCTTTAATCTCAGATCCCCAGTTCTCAAAGTTTTTCAAGTGGCCCTAATCCTTTTCTGTCACTTCCCTCTTATAAAGTAATAGCTCTGCCTGTAAAATAATATCCTTGACAATTTGGGAAATTGTAGATTTTGCCTCAGGCTGTCAGATCTTAAGACAGATCTCGTTTAGAGAAGCCCAGTTAGGTTTGACCTTTGGGTGATCCCTGTGCCTTATTTCTTGAGTCAGAATGACCTCAACTTTGGCATGTAAAAAAAAAATAAGAAGAAAGAAGCAGCCTCTGTGAATTGGCAAAGAGCAGGTTTACAGATGACAAAGGTTTACTGTTAATGAGATGTATTGCAGATGTATCCATATTTTCTGTGTATTTTAATGGTGTTGTTTTCAGTCCTTTTATGTTAGTGTTTTGCACTGCTGGATACTGTAGCGTGAAACGTGAACTAATTGTGTTTTAGCAGGTTTGCTGGGTCTTTCGTCCTAGATGCAATTTTGTTTTCTATTTCTTTTTCACTTCTTTATTTCCACATATCCAATCCCATTTTAATCAAATCAGATATTGTAGCAATATTTTAATCATTCCTAAACCCTTTTTCCTGTGTTTCAGTGAGCTTGGCTGTATCTGCTGCCTTTTACAATCCGCAGACGAATGTTGTTTTTTTTCTGTTGTGTTCTGTCGGGTTTGTGAATCATGATGTTAGTTTGTCTTGTCTGTAGTGTTGCCTCTCTGAATGGTTTTATTTATAAGTTTGTGATCCACTACAGCTGAAACCAAAAATGGCCTTCTTGATGCAAACAAATCCGCCTGCCTCAGGTCTCTGGTTTTAAGGACTAAAACGAAACAAAAGATGTTGAACTGGTTTAGGCTTTTTTCATGTTTTTTTTCTCTCAGAATTTTTCTCTCTTCAGAATTTCTCTCAAAAGAATTTTGTTAGTTTCTCAACCACTTCATCAGATTCAGCCCACTGGTGTGACGTTATTCCCTATTGCAAAACCAGATGATATGTGGAGTGCCTTGAACACAGCACTGAGTCGTACATCAGGCATTAATTTCTCTTTATTCTGAGATAAAAGTTTGATGGGGAAGAAGCCCCACAACCCTCAGAAACCTACCGAAACCAGAAAACACTGGTTTGGTTTATTCATGTCCTATATTATTATCATTATCATTATCATTATTATTATTATTATTATTATTACTACTACTTATTACTAGTAGTAGTAGTAGTAGTAGTAGTAGTAGTGGTGGTAGTAGTGTCATAATTATTATCATTATTCAACATTCCAGTCACTCAGATGTCCACCTTCAAAAAGATGAAGATCCTTCATTGTCTGATCTAGATGTTTCCTCTAAATGAGCTACTGAAGGTTTTACATCATGATGCATTCAGTACATGTGGGGAGAGATTGTTATATAAGACTGGCACAAAGTCTTACCCTCTTTCATTTCCAGACAAAATGCATTTGTACATGTTAACAGGTCTTGTCTCATTGCAGTCAGGAAGAAGCTCAAGTTTTGCCTGAGTTTGAAGCTGACTGATGTCTCTTCAATTAGTCCATGTTAGTTGCATGTTCTAAGGGACCCTCTGGACTATATTTTTGGTCTTTGGCAGATTAAAGTTGATCATTGTGAGAAATAAACTTGATGCAAGATCTCACTGTGAGACGGTCAGCGAGAGGTTTAGAAAAAACAAATTCTCACAATCAGACTACTGCTGCAGCTTGCACCATAAACCAACCACTCAGAATGGAGCAAGAAAAGATGCAGCGCAGATGTACATGTGCTACTGTTTAGCAGGAGAACCATCTTGGTTATGGTTTTTATAAAAACAATAAATGTTAGTTGCCAGTGTGGCTGCGTGTTGGTGGGCCCTGATACAGTTAGGAAGCTCAGAGGGACTGTAAGTCGGCTGGTCTTTCACCAAAGGTTGATGCAGTTACAGACACTGTTTACAACATCTGACCCTTAAAATTGACAAAGACTGAGAGATGAAATATGTTAAGCCTGTAGATGGCGGTTGTCCTGGTGCCCTGTTGAATGTTCAACTGATGCTGTGAGCAAGCTGATCACCGACCAGATAAAATGGACCAATGACAATGCTGCAACTTGGTGACATGAAGACTAGTGCTCGGATGTGTTATTTTCTCACTACACAGAGACAGGTCAGAACACATTTCCCTTTAACCTGAACCACAGCAATGTAACGGTCACTGTTTGAACAGCTTCCCCTGCGTGATTTGAATGCATCACAAACCTTTAGTGTCACGTGAGATGGGTGAGGCAGGAATGGGACCAGTCAGTCGGTGACGGGAGGGGATTGTTCAACTGTACATACATGTTTTATACCACAGTTTGGTGTCTGAAAGGTGATTGTCAGTTTTCTATCTGATGAAACGTGTATATTTTGATTAAAGTGCAACCGGTTCTGAGCCTTAAACTGTTTGTGTCACAAAGAAAGGAAAAAAAAAAAAAGATTAAATCACTTTTTATCTAAAACTCTGGAGAATTGCGTCCTCTGTTATCCAAGTGTCCTTAAAGTGAACTATATCACTGAACATTGTGTCTGCTTTTTTTCGTTCATGTTTTACTCAGATATGTGGGCACAAGGTGGTGTCTGTCTTTCGGGAGAAACATTAATATTTAGGTTATCATCAAGTACCAGATTTAGCTCCCACTTCCCCCATTCCTCCCATGTCCTTGAACATGCCCGGCACCCAGTGGAGCAGTGCTGTGTAAATTGGTCTCCGCGAGACAGTAGACGGCTGGTGGACCATGAGGAAATATTCACTGAATGGACAAAGAGTGCAGTGGATAAGAATCGTGTCAAATGATTCACTTTACTCAATTTAGTTGATCACAGATCACAGGTGTATTTACTGTTGTTTCACTTTCTGCTTTGGAGTCTGTATTACCAAAAACAGTCTTTGTAAAATACATTTTGTTTTGTTTTGCTCCAGAGAAGGTATTCTACTTGTCAACTTAGAAAAATCGCATTCGAGAGGTGATTAAATGTAGAATATTTTGACATTTAGGTATTGATGCAGAGGTGTGCTCACTTCTGATGTATACTGTTATCATTATTTCTGAATTGTTCCAGTCATTTATAGATGTCAGAAAACTGTTTGTTCTGGGTGAATATGAGTCAGGTCACGCTGATATATTTGTTTCTACAGTTGTACCTTCCAGCCAGCTGCCCAAATCTGTCAACACAGTAAGCCACACACTTCAGTTATTGCTCCACTGCTTTGCAGCTGAGCAAAGACAGATGTGATTCTTCCAATCATTGTTTTTGTGAGACATTTTCAGCTGAAGTGGCTCTGGTTCTGGACATGCTAAAGGTTTTCAGGGTCTTCATCAGCTTTTGGAAATTGTGGCTTCTCTTTTCTTTTCTGCAACTGTGGCATATAGCAGCTGAACATTCACATTGTAGGTGCAAGTTTGTCAGATCTTTTCTCTTCACAGGTTGTAAATGTGCCATGTAAGACTACTTGTGTGTTTATAGCAGCAGGGACGGAACAGCTGAGTGACTAGAGGCTTCTGTTGTTCGATCCTAAATCTAACAAATCATCAGCAACAAGTACATTCTCATCTGCAGAGCTGTTGTCATTGAAGCCTCCATTCAAAAAGAAATGACTGATCCAAACTAAACCTGGAACCACGTTAGCATCACAGTGAGTCACAGACAAACTTGTGTATTTTGTGTCTCTGTGTGTACTGATTGGAAAAGACTTCACCGCCATCAGGTCTACATTTTCTATTCAACAGTACTCTACATGCTTTGGATAAAACCAATTGAAAAACCTTTTTCAAAAAGATATCAATATTTTTGGTATTTAACAAATAATTTGAAGAAGGTTGGAAAATGGATTGTTGGGTGTTGTGTAGTTGAGGGTTAAAGGTGCTCTGAGGAGGGTTTTTCTAGTAACAGCCTTTTGTAGCCAAGATTTATAGAAACTGTTCCTTTTGTGACACCAAGTTTCAGTCTGTGCTGCTCATAAGAAGTTGGTGGCAGCAATGAGTAAGTGACAACAGTGCATCAAATGCAGCAAAGACGCCTGCGAACATGACGGAAGTAAACATATTGAGCTGGGTTTTGACCAGTGTGGCTTCAGGGCCAATGTCGATACAGATTCTTAGTAATTAAGGACATCATTAAGCACAACTGACACACGCTTGCAGTAAAGATAAAAATATTGCTGTCAAAACTGAGACAAACAGAACTTGTCTTTGTGTATTTACATTTTAAATATGTTTATTAAAAACATCTCCAACATTTATCCTGTAGTACTAATAGGATATTGTTTGTGCTGTGGAACAGATCAAATGTAATGTTTATCAGTGAACAGTCCATGGGAACAACTGGGACAAACAGGAGCCAAGTTGAAGTTTACTGAAAGACCTGAATGCTGTTTATTAAGTGACATTAAATCCTCCTCCTTCAGCTGAGCCTGACTTATGGACATGTTCCGTCCTGGTCCTCTGAGCTCCCAACACCATGTCACTGTCTGAGGAAAACACTCCTCAGCACAACACAAAGCTACCTGTGTCACACTGAAAGAAAATGTAGAAACAGGTTTGGGGCAGCAGAGGGCGACTGTCCAACAGATGAGTGAAGTTAACAGGACCACACTCTGAGGACCGCACACTGAGAGGTTCTGTTTTAAGACAGTGTCACCTGCTACAACGGATGATTGTTGAAGTGTGCAACTTTAAATTTGAAAAGCTGATTACAGCCAAAGTACTACTTATAATTGTAATACTTTATTCACCTCACCTGCATTTCTGCACAATAAATGCCACGAACATCACTTTGCATCACATATTTATATTTCTGTAAATATCTGTCCACAGAACCTATTTAAATTGTTATAGTTGTGCACGTCATTGTTATTTATATATAAGGAGCAAAGTCCTGTGCAATTTCAGTATACATTGTATAATGGCAATAAAATGGATTTAGATTCAAGGAGTATTTCTGACAAAGTACTACTTGATGTCCAAATATTTATAGATTCAAAGATTATTCTGCCCAAAACATCATCTGCAGTTCCATCCATCCATCCATCCATCCATCCATCCATCATCTATACACCGCTTAATCCTCACCAGGGTCGCAGGGGGGCTGGAGCCTATCCCAGCTGACTTAGGGCAAAGGCAGGGGACACCCTGGACAGGTCGACAGTCTATTACAGGGCTACGCCACCTGCAGTTTTAAAGGTTTATTCCACCTAAGCAAAACTTTCTGGCGAATTGTGGATTTAAAGGTTTATTCAAGACTAAATATATCCTTTAGGTCCAAGTACTGATAACTTTACGTATAATTTTTAATTTGTATTCCACCCAAATACTACTTTCTAATTAACAAATAATGGTTTCAAATCTTTATTTCAAAATGGAGGTCATGGAGACATCAGGTGTTTTTAGGTCTCTCAGCATCACACAGAGTCACCCAGAGGACCACCTGGAGGCCTGGCTCCATCCTCAGCAACCTGTGACATAACATGCTGACACATCTGTAAAATATGTAAAATACAGCAGCTTAATACAGCTCAAACAAGGTTCACAGTCCGTAGCAAGTTTCTCAATTTCGTTCAGGATTCTAGCAGCAGAAAGTGGGTGGGATGAGCCGGCGCTTATGGCTCTGTTTTCACGTAATTTATCCGAAGAATTAAAAGATGAATTGGATTCACGAGATGCGCCGTACTCGTTAGAGAAATTAATTTCTCTCGCTATCAAGATTGATAATGGGTTGCGCGAACGGAAAAGAGAGAGAGCGGTCAGGGCTCGGAGACTCACGTTTTCCTCAGCTCCTTCCCCCCAGACTCCAGGGACACCGACCCACAGCCCAGACAGGACGTCACCTGTTTCCACTGCCGGTGAGGAACCCATGCAATTGGGCCGGACCCGCTTGACTCCTGAGGAGCGACAGAGGTGGATTCAGGGGTTTCTGTGCTTATACTGTGGACAAACAGGACACTATGCAGCGAGTTGTCCAGAGTCGTTAAAAGGTCGGCTCACCGATGAAAGAGAGCAGTCTGGTGAGCCGTGTTCCCTCTTCTTCTAGCTCTCCCTCTCGAGGCTCCATGCCCGCTAGCCTTCATGTATATTCTCGAGTTTTTCCTGTGCATGTATTGATTGACTCAGGGGCTGATGATAACTTTATTGATGCTAACTTAGCTAAACAAATTAACGCCCCTCTGGTAGCTTTAGACACACCTCGCCTCATTAATGCTCTCGACGGAAGATTCCTGGCAAGAGTTACACACTGCACTGCTCCTATGTCTCTGGTTATTTCTGGCAATCATAGAGAAAACATTCAGTTCTATCCCATTCCCTCTCCACTAGCCCCGGTGGTATTGGGTCTTCCCTGGTTGCAGCAGCACAATCCCCAAATGGACTGGATGACCTTTTCCATCACGGGTTGGAGCACAGCATGCTACGCCCATTGTTTAAGGTCCGCATCTCCAGAGAAAAGTCCGGCTGCACCACCATTGCCACCACCTGATCTCACGTCTGTTCCATCTGAATACCATGATCTAGCCATGGTCTTTAGCAAAGACAAAGCTCGCTCTCTTCTCCCCCATCGCCCATATGACTTTTCCATAGATTTATTTCCCGGAACATCTTTTCCATCCAGCAGGCTATACAAGCTCTCCCTGCCCGAAAAAACCGCCATGGAAACCTACATTAATGAGTCCCTGGCAGCTGGACTCATCCGTCCCTCCTCGTCTCCCCTAGGAGCGGGTTTCTTTTTTGTTGAAAAGAAGGACACGACACTACGCCCATGCATTGACTATCAGGGCCTCAACGACATCACAGTCAAAAACTGCACTCCACTTCCTCTCATTAATCCCTCTTTCGAGCCACTATGTCATGCACAGATTTTTACTAAGTTAGACCTCCGCAATGCTTACCATTTGGTACGAATCCGTGAAGGCGACGAGTGGAAGACAGCGTTTAACATGCCTCTAGGGCATTTCGGGTATTTAGTTATGCCTTTTGGCCTCACTAACACCCCTGCAGTTTTCCAGGCCCTTATGAATGATCTTCTCCGTGACATGCTCAACCATTTTGTTTTTGTCTGGATGACATACTGATTTTTTCTCACAGTTTAAAGGAACACCAGCAACATGTTAGACTGGTACTGCGTCGCCTCTTGGAGAATAAGCTATATGTCAAATCAGAAAAGTGTGAATTTCACGTCCCTTCTGTAAGTTTCTTAGGTTATGTCATCGCTCAAGGTCAGCTACAACCCGACCCTGCGAAAATCCAGGCAGTGAAAGACTGGCCCACTCCCTTGTCACGTAAAGACCTACAAAGATTCTTGGGATTTGCAAACTTTTATCGTAGGTTCATAAAAGACTACAGCAAAGTAGTCATTCCGCTCACTAGTCTCATCTCAACCAAGGTCCCTTTTGCTTGGACACCCGCAGCCAGCGACGCTTTTAATACTCTCAAGGAATTATTCACGAGTGCTCCTGTTCTCCGACACCCAG